TGGAGTTAAGTCCTAAAATGGGCTTGTGACAAAGTCTCCTGGTTCAATTTTGTCCCATTTCAGAGAAACGAGAGTGTCACAATTGCAGTAACTACAAAATTCAAGCTAATACCAAGGCAAACTGCAGTAAGTGAAGTAACTGCGTTCTGGCTTTGTTTTCCCGTTTGACACCGCAGATACTGCGCGGTCTGCCTTGGTATCCCGCGGCCTCTCATAAGAGTTCTGTATGAAAGTTATACGGAATGCAGTTTGTCCCCTATTCACAGGCATACACCATATGACTACCAGACCATGCAAATAACAAATTATTAATTGATATGTAATCATTATTTTTGCACAAATCACCGTTTCATTTGTTAACACATTCGAGGTAGGCTTTATGACCAAGGGGAATCCTCTGCTGCCTGGTCGCTCCCGGTCCACAGCGAGCGGGACTAGCGTTGACTACAATTTCCAGTAACCCCTCACTGCAGAAATGATGTTTTTTCTGAGAACCTTTTATACACCTTTTATATACTTAACTGCAGACATGGAAATGATGTAGATGATGTGGAACAGTACAAATATTTTGAGCATCCCTTATTATGTCCCTTATTTTCCTATAAAGAATCACAATAATCCCTTATTTTCCTTTATGGCATCCCTAGTTATATTGTTAGGAAAAGTTTGTATTTGTATGAATTTTTGACTATTGTTTTAACTACTTGGTCTGAAATTAATTACTTTTTAAATAAAATTAGCAAAACACTCTTTGTGGTGAAAGGAGCATTGTGATAAGACGTTCTTGAGGCTTACTACTGAGTAATTGTAACATTCACAACATGCAAACATCAATAAAACTATTAAAGTTATTAAAAACAATCAACATGTAGTAAGAAACACAACAAGAAAGTTGGATGAACACATTTAGTTTGTAGATACTGCACTTTGCTTTTGCAATAGTGTTTTAGTTGTGTAAGGTCATCCAAAGGCAGTGTGCAGTATCTGCATTTTGGTGGACAAAGGTCACATCAGCGGCCATGGTTTTTATCTATAAAAAAAATTATGCTAAGAAGGCTTTGAATGAATGCATTGCCACTAATCTAGCCACAACATGTTTGACTGGCTGATGTAAAAACTTTAAAGGCATTTTTCTGTTTCAGTGTTTGCGTAGTTACTGTACTTTGCATTTGTAGGGCAGCATAGGTCTGATCAGGCCAGTCAAAAAACACTGGTTGCAGTCTTTTGGAGTCAACACCAAGCAGGGAAAGCAAGCACAATGTGGGTACAAGCTTAAATTCTACAATAGTACATTTAATTTAGAATTTCTTTTAACTGGTTACATTGTTCTTCGAGTCTCATTGCTTAATGCTTCACCATACTTCCCCCAACTGAGCCTGGTTCCTCCCAAGATTTTTTCTCCATTTCTGTCACCGATGGCGTTTTGGTTCCTTGCCACTGTCGCCTTTGGCTTGCTTAGTTGGGGACACTTAATTTCTGGCTATATTGTCAGCTTGATTGCACAGATACTATTGGAAGAAAGCTGAACTAATGACATCACTGAATTATGAAATGATTTTAACTGGAAAATTTACTGTTTGTTATTGTCCTCTTGCATTATTGACAAACATTTTTCCTGTTTGACACTGTAAAGCGCGCTTTGACACAATCAGTATTGTATGAAGCACTATATAAATAAAGGTGACTTGACTTGACTATAGACGGCCCTTTATATACTGTTATACACAGATGTAACTAGGTTTACGATTCCCTTATAGTGTTTTTGTTGTTTAAATAGCTGCACCAGAAATTCTGAAAGAAAAAAAAAGTCTTTCTCTGCTCTGTAAGACACAAATCTTTATCTAACTCATGAGTAAATGACAACAGATTTATCATTTTAAAGTGTAGCCTAAGTTAAAGCAATGGAATCCTTCGAAATAAGTTGAAAACAGCATATCAGTAATGTTTATAACACAATATTAAGATATGTGGTACTTAATTCAATGATATTAAACATTTTTAAATATGGCTTAGGTGTCCAAATACAGACAATACACTGTAAAATCCAATAGTTTACCTTACTTAGATTTAGTTAGTTATCTTTACTTAGTTGTTATACTTACTAGGTTTTATTAAGTTACAGCTACTTTCAAGGCAAATAAAACAATTTACTTACTGTTTTGAGTGACACTTACTTAAAATATTCAAGTAGCCACAAAGGAACCAATGACATTAATAAACCAATGAGAGGCAGCAGTGCACTAATATGTTGCTAATGTGCAACATAACAACAGCAGAAGAAGAAAAGAAAACGAGTCTTAATAGACTTTTCACTCATTTCCTCCATGTCTGCAATTATCTTTCACTAGTTGCATTCACTCGTTTCCCAAAGTCATCTTGAATGTTGAATTCTCAATACAACTGAAATATTTGAAAGAACATCACATAAGCTAAATTCATAAATTGATGTTGATTTTCCTAAAATGTGTTTTTTTAACTCCCCATTATAGTGATTAGCAGTCCCTTTGGTTGGGCACTTTGAACTTGGTTGACATTGCTATAATTTACTGCCTGTTAATACAGTAATGCATCAAGAACTCAGAGTTATAGGATTTCAAAGGAAGAAAAGTAATAAATAGATTGCTTTTAGAA